CAGTCATCTATTTATTTATGTAAATGGGTAAAGTCGGCTTAGCGTCAACTCACTGACTTACAATGGTGGAAGGAAGTGGCTTAGCTGCTTACACTAAACGCTGTCAAAGAGTGCTGTGCTAAAAACAAAATGTGCTGCATCTGTTTTACATTTAACACAAACATGATAGCATAAGATTTCCGCTATCCTTAGGTATCTCTCTTACTAGAGCTGCACCAGTAATGTCAAGGAAATGCGAAAATCGGATGCTAACATTCGTGTTAAATCAAATTGATGCAAGTCGTCTCCCGAAGGTCCAAAGTATCCCGTAAAAAAATTACTTTCCAAGCTTCACTGCACTTGTTATGGATAAGACCTGGCTTAGGCTATACCTTACAAGGTTAAAAAACGAAGTCAATGGGTAGCAGCACAGCAGCCCATTCCCCTTCTCCCCAACAATACCCAGGCAACTTGGAGTGAAATAAGAGATGACCATGCACCATGCAATTTATATTACACAGACTTTTAGCCAGATTTGAATAGCAGAATGGCAACCTGGCCCATGTAGAAGTAGATAAAGTGTTTTGTCTCGTGAGTCACATAGCTAAAACGAGAAAAATGTAGTGTTAATCGACCACTTGAAAATGCATGAATAGGGAGGTATTGAGGGAATGAGAAGTTAACTCGTAATATCGCACCTGCCAAAGTTTCGGCCCACAATGCAGTGCCATGTTGGATTATACATTCTATCAAATTCTTTCTTAATGTGTGCAGCAATGTCTTTCTCAATGTTGAATTTCTCCATGGCGTCTTGAGCACAATCGACTGCCTTTTGTTGCATCTCCTCACTCATGTCGGCATTCTTGATGACAGCCTTTTGTGAAGATCCGTAGCTCTGCATGGCTAATGTGAATCGGAGAAGGTTTTCACAAGGCCTTTAATGAAGCGACGGGTGTATATATACGGGTACTGAATGAGTCGGCTGCTTCAGTAGCCTAGCCTCAATTGTCAAGTGGAGTAAGTGTGCGTGTATACACATGTTTGTATGATTAGTTCACTGCCGCGCATTATTGCTGAGTTTAAGTAACACGATGTGAGGCATCATATGCGCCTTTGACACAGCTTTACGTCCTCTTCCCTCCTAGCGTC